TGAGATTACAGGGCAGCCTGCATATCTCAAGATTGATTTGTCAAAGTTTAAATCCCCTGCAAAAAGTCAACTTCATAACATGAGAGGAAAAAGAAAGCATTAGTGTATTACAGTGCTGCATAGTTTATCTGAATAAAATGTTGTGCATTAACAGTGTTGTTTAGCTTCTAATTAAAAAGCAATCATGAAGACAAACTATTTAATTGCATTAACTTTACTATGCAGTAGGTACAGACAAAGAAAATATTTTCTGCTACTAACCTTACCAATTTTTGGCATGACTGCCTTTCCTTCCAGAGCACTGCTGTACTTGACTTCTCAATCTTTTCAACACTTAGCTTAGAAGAAAGTAACACAATCATACTGGAATGTTAAAAATCACTGATAGTGTTTTTCATCACCACATTACTGACAGAACAATTTCTTAGTGTGTTAGAAGGACAATCAAAAGAATTCTTGACTGGCATGTAAAAATAAGGGTTTTTTTCAAAAACTACTAGACTTAAACTTCAAATCTCTGAAACAGTCAAGTAATGCACATACCTGCAATCGGAATATTCTGAGAGACGGAAAGCTGCACATCTCCAGTCCCAGGTGGCATGTCAATTACTAAATAGTCCAGTTGACCCCAGTCAACCTAGAAAACAACAAGAAATATGTTTGAGGTTTTAAGTGTTTTTATGTAAGGCACTTCATGTTTTATTGCAGTCCTTATTTCCTGTAATGCAAAACAAGTGAATCAAGGACACCTCAAAAGAATGATACCAAAATGTTCTTCTAGTCACAGTCTGAGTACAGGATCAGACATTATTTTTCTAAGAGATGCAAACTTTGCTGAGCACTCAAAACTATGAGTGCAACTTTATTGCTAACTTTATAAGCATAATCCTTATTGCATTCTTTCCCCTAAAAAAAGTAGCAACAACTTAAGACTTTGACATTGCAGCTGCTAGAAGCAGCTTACTAGAAGCAAGTGTTAGGTAAAATTCAGGCTAAAATTCTGGGCTTTGTGCAACAAATGCAGTTTAGGAATTGTTTCCATTAATTTAAAATCAATTTTGCTTGCTTCTCACTTGCTTACCACTTCTTTGAAATTACATCTAAATCTTTAGTAATTTTTTTCTGGTTTGTTGTTGTAAAGCTATTGGTGTTGAAATTTTTTCTAGGAAAAAGAGCTGTTGGGAGGAAAAAACCAAACAACAGATTTGCTAAATGAAAATCACCAGATAATTATTGAAACTTACAACATACATAAGATTGTCACGCAATAAAAAAAATCTTTACTGGTTGCTAAGCATCAAATGAGAGTGGCCATCAGTGATACTAGGCTCAAATATGATAATGCTGTGAATATTTACATTCTTTACCAGGACAGTTTTCCAGGAGAGCCAAGTAACTCTCTCTAGAGCATAGTGTACTGTAATAAATGTTCCCTTCATGAGAACAGAAGTGGTCCTAGGCCTACTCTATATAATGTAAAGCCAAGCTACGCTTCGCTTAAACATTTCCCAGCGGTTTAACTAAGCTTCAGGAGATCCTTGATTCAACTCTGACATGGTGCAGGTTAGTACCAGTGTACTCTAACTAGCCAGCAGTAATGATATAAGGTCTTTTGTCTCAGCAGTGCAGAAGCTTTAGAAATCCTAACCACTTTAAAAATAAATACCCACAAACATCTCCCCCTCATTTTTCCCTCCACATAGACATAATGCAATTATATGGTATGTTTCTGATTCATACAACAGATATAAAATACAACAGTTGATGAGCTGCTTTAATACAGGAAATTGCCAAACAAGAGTAGGATTTTACTTTCTTTTTATTTTACATTCCTTCAGTGTCATTTTAAAAGCAAAATCAATTGACATTTTGCCATTCCCTAGATTATTGTCCTGGAGTGTTAGACTCTGTCAGGGGAACACTCATGAATCTTGATTCAGTTCTTGCATGGATTATGATCTTCTGGGGTAGCACAAGTGATATGAAAGCCAGACCATTAACGCAAAGTAGCAGTGAGAAATGGAATTTTTCAAAGCAGACTGATGAAGATGGAAGATTTCAGAGCACTTACGGGAGAAGGGGGGTGAGGAAGGTTAGTTGCAAATTCTAACTTTAGACATCTAAATTAGGGACTCTCAGGCAAACCTCCCTTTCCTCATTTTGTGTACAAAGGCTGCAGGAGCACTAAAAGGTGCCTAAGACAGTCTAGCTAAACAAGAAAAGCTACTTATGTTAACCACAGCAAACACTGCACTTTACTTTTTCACATTTAATATTGATCTATATTATCTATAATATCTATACGGCTCTATAATTTCTATACTTTTCAACAAAAATTACATATACCTAGCAGATTTTTCTAAAAGTAATTAGCATTCCAAATCATACTGAGACCATATAACCCCCAAAGAAAAATTACATATATGTGCAAAAATGTATGTACTGAAACATACTACTAAATAGCAGTAGTTTATAACATGAGTAGTCAAGTTCCTTCAAGATTCGCAATTAAACACACATATCCTCTATAAATAATTAAATGCGTATATCTCAATATGCAAACCAATTCTTTAATAATAACCACAACCATTTTGAAATGCTAAGATATAGAGGGTTTAACTTTTTAAAAAGGATTTACTTAAAACACCTTTTTCCCTTGCATCTTCATAAAGACTGATCCTGGCATTTTTTGTTAAATCCAAATTTACAAGTCCAGTAATCGTATTTTCCTTCCTTAAATACTTCTACAGAAACTATGAATAAACTGTTTTTTTGCTTTCTGCCCTGCAGCAAGATGCAGTCCTGACACACATCTGTGAGTGGCACAGCACTACTATCATTCTGACAGTTTCCAATCCCTTTGTCTGTCAAAAACGCTGGGATCTTGAAAAAACACGTATATTCAGTACTTTTCAGCCCTTTTCTCCACGAGCTCAACCTCAAGTCCTCTTAGGTACAGCACTGCCTCATGGAGTAGTGCAAGACACTCCAAACCCCACCATTATCAAAGGTAACCAGAATTTAAAAATCAATACAGTTTCTTTCCCATAGCTACAAGCTGTCTGGTTTTGCATATATCTGCTGGCCCTAACTTTAAGCTAGCTCCTCTCCTGGAACAAGGTGACTTTCTGGGCCTGTCCTATAGCTTTTGCCTTCACTCTTACCAGAGGTTCTGCTCCTCCAACCTCTTCAAGTGCTACTCTCCTTCATCAAGCTCCATGTGATCCTCCCACCTGCAAACATTACAGCTCCCCAGAGAAAACATCTAGAATCTATGTGGAATGCTAACGGCGAAGACCTCAAAGGTCAGTCCAGCGCTCAAACACTTTCCTAGGCATGTAGTTTTGCGGGGAAGCACAAAGCAGTTGCTACTCTTCTAAGCAGAGGTAGCTGCCTTGGTAAAAACATCTCCACGTAGAACCTCTAAAGTAAAAGGACACTTTTATAAATAGCTTACTGCTTCAAAAACACGCAAACCAATTGTTGCTCAAAGAAGTTACTTTCAAAATTCACCACAGAGTAGAATGAGAGAAGGGGTACAGAAATCAAGGCACCAGAGCTTTCTGCCTCAAGCTTCCTTACTAAGTGACCCCATAACAACAAAAAGAACTTTCAACATGTACTTTTTGGACTGTCCTATGAGTAATTATTTTTATTAAAGTGATAAACTTATGAAAACATAACTTAATAATGGAATCTTAAGCACATGGTGAATCTCATGGTAAATCTCATTGCTAGGCAACAGGAAAAATACTCTGTTAACACATAGTGCAATCAGATTATAATGCTTTATTTAATTTATGGAACTGAAACCATCTTATTTTATATATTTTCTTCAAATTCATGGATTAAAAGAAGAAATAAGCTGTCTTTATCAAATTAATTGTGCTACATTTTAATACTGCTAAATCTGAGCACAGAAAAATGAAGAAGCTTTTGTCACAATAGCTAAGAAAAGGCAACAGTGAAGATGTCTAGGTGTGCAAGTGTTGAATACACGTGAGAACTACCCTCCACACACCTCTGAGTTATGCCACTGCTGTGGCCCTGAACTGGTGGAAGTCAGACGGCAAACTAGATTGGAAAACTGCTCCTCATTAAAACTAACCTTAGCTTTAAGTTTGGATTTTGGATGTAGTCAAATAGTTATTCTTACAACTTCATTCTCTTCTTTTTCATTTGTAATTCAGGGTGGGAACAGAGAGGTGCACCACAATTACATAGCTCTAACTGCTGAAAATAATTGAGATAGTGTTTTTGCCTAGTAGTGAAAAAGCGTCCTCTAGACACATGGACTTGCTCAGACTCAGGCTGGGGAACTCTGCACCTCATCCCATTTCTCTCTATAGACTTCTTAATTCACTTCTGTTCTGCAAGATGTAGATGATAAACACTGTGGAGTTCAGTCACTCTTCCATTACCCTCCCACAAGCAGTATGACAGTCTTTATTAAACAAATTCTTGAATGCAATTTGGAAAGTATAATGATTTGTTACAGAAGCTTATACGTTATTTAATGGGAGAAGAAATTCCAAGCCTGGTACTAAATTTCAGCAAAGGAGAAAAAAAGGGAGGAGAGACACCTTTAATTAAATTTAGAATTGAAACATATAACCAGAGGAGTGGCTTTCTGAAATCTACTATTGCCATTGACTCAACATTATTAAAATGGGATGTATAATCAGGCTGTGATATAAAACACTAATTTAAATGCAAATCCTGTTTATACACAACAATTTACCAAATCAGGACCACTAGTCCTCATGTTCTCAATCACTTCTGAGAAGTGTGTCTGTATGCAAATACAGTTGCATACAAGTAAATGAGCTCAGATTAACAGCACATTACAGTAAATGAGTTCCCTTTGCAAGCAATAAGCGGACAGTGGTTACAAAGGCCTGCCTTGTAGCATCTGAAATCTGTCAGCACCTCTGCATGTACAGAAGTGTTAATATCTGTGCCCCTCTAATATATACAGTGTGTAAAACATTTCAAACCATAGAAACGTAATTGTGCTTTCCTTAAGTATAGCATTCATCTTTTTTAAAAAAGGTTTAACTTGACATTTATTGTTAAGCAATGTAATTAAGCGCCATGTGCTTCTGTGTGTTTTCCCTTGGCCAGAAACACCACGAATGCTTCTATGTAAATTACTTTAATCAATCACTCTGTTTATGTGACAATTCATAATCAACATATCAGATATGCATTTTAAGTAAAGGTTCCAAATACCGAGTTAAACCTGAGGTAGAGCTAGATATAGATAGCATTTCTGCAGAGGAATGAAGCCTGAGCATTCTCTGTGCGTGAGGCAGAAATGACACAATATTAGCACAGAAGAGGGATTGCTACTTGTGGTTTTGAAGTAAACCTGGTGTTTGGTAAATAACAGAAGATATTATTTATTTGTCCTTATTAAGAGGAATACATGCAGAGTTTCAATCAAGCAGCACTGCAGGTGCAGCCTTGACAGCAGCCAGGCAGGCTCTGAATATCCGCATCAGGAAAGTACTAAGAGCTACACTGCAGGCAGCTTAAGGTCTGTTCCTGCCTGATCCCTCCTCCTCCTAACTCCTTTCCTGTGTTTATCTAGATGAGTTAATAATGGCAAACAGATGAACAAAATAAAGGTAAGGA